ATCCTAAAGGAGATAAGTCCTGGGTGTTCATTGGAAGGACTGATGTTGAAGCTGAAACTCCAATACTTTGGCCACCTCCCGTGAAGATTTGACTCATTGGATAAGACCCTGCTGATGCTGGGAGGGATTGGGGGCAGGAGGAGAAGGGGATGATAGAGGATGAGATGGCTGGATGGCATTACCAACTCGATGGGCATGAGTTTGGGTGGACTCCGGGAGTTGGTGATGGACAGGGAGGCCTGGCGTGCTGCGATTCATGGGGTCTCAAAGAGTCGGACACGACTGAGTGACTGAACTGAACTGATGCCCACTCACCCCCAACATGTTTTCAGCTTTTGACCACTTGCTCAATTGAGAGCCACAGCTAGTGCCACCACTGTTTCCTTATCTCCTAATTCCATCAGTTTATCAGTCTCCCTTAAGGTGAAGACCAGCCGTTGTCGTGACCCCAATATCTGCCATGGAAATATCCAGAGTGAATCTGTATGGCTTTCCAGACCAGACCCAGGAAATTCTGTCTCCACTGGGATATTACTCCCCAGTTGCTGCCCAGAGGAGACAGATTATACTACTGGAGGTATGAAGGAATTAATGCCCCATGGAGGTCTTTATCAGTGAACTAAAGAAGATGGTAAGGAACTGGTATAAATAAACGACTTCTCCTCCACCTAGATAATCTTTCCAAAGAGGAGAAATTTCATTATGACCTCTCTGGAGTTGTTCCATGTGGTCAAGTAACCAGCTTTGTATTCTTGTGAAGTTCTTCCCAGCTCATTGACAGACCACCTTATATCTGCTTTTGCTTTTTCCTTTCAATCCTTCTCTTTTTTCCTCCCTCTGGCTGTCCTGGGATTGTTTGATCTCAGGCCCTGCCTTCGAGAAAGCAAGGCTCTTAAACTCAAAAGTTTTTACTTACCAATTCAAAATTAAACTATGGTACAAACAACCCTAGCCTTCCTGATTGAAAAGCTTGCTGATTTTGGTGCACCCAATTATCTTCACTATTTTAATGTATTAATGTAATTTTTTTTTGGTAGTACTAGTGATAAAGAGCCCACCTGCCATTTCTGGAGATGTAAGAGACATGGGTTCAGTCCCTGTGTCAAAAAGATCCCCTGGAGGAGGACATGGCAGCCCACTCCAGTATTCTTGCCTGGAGAATCCCATGGACAAAGGAGCCTGGTGGGCTACAGTCCATAGGGTCGCCAAGAGTCGGACACAACTAAAGTGACTTAGCAAGCAATGTAATTTTTTCTTTTTTAAAAAATTTACAGTGACTTTTTTCCTCTGCCCCATTTTGTTTTATGCATTTTTCATTGCTCTGGTTTTTTACACCTTTATTCTATAGTTCTCTTACATTTGAACTTTTTTTTTTTTTTTTAAATGCAGAGAAACCTTACGCTGGTTGGTTGTCACTTTCAGGATGTATATCTATTGAATGTTTTCTTGGGAGAAACATGCAGTGAATGTCAGGTTTCATCTATGTATTCCTGTATATAAGTTTGACATACTGGAGTAATATAATACGTTTTAAATATCAGTTTACAGATTTCCTCCCTGCTTCCCTAAGTCACTCCCTATAGAACACTAAGCTTTCCAGACCACACTTTGTCAGATTTGTCTTAGGCAGGGAGGTATATTCCATTGTAGTATTCCACGCCATAGTCAGGGACTTTACAATCACCTCTTCCCTTTCTCACCACTCCCCCTTATAGTTATTATTTCTGATAGAGATTCAGGGACAACATGCATTGTAAATCCTTGGTACATTTATTAGTATTAAACAGGAATACTAAGTTAATATTTCTATTATAACCATATATTGAAAATAAAGCTCAAAATCTTACCTAGTAAGCTGATGTATCACATTTGCTATGTACCTCAGATTTGACCTAAGCACCCGAGTTCTTCTAGACTTGGGTATCTTCAGCTTTTTAAATTATGTGTTTGTTTTGGTTGTTGCTACTTTGTCCTGAATTTGAACACCCTGTCTTCTGAGTCCACACAGAGAATTTGACTCTCTAATTCTTCAACCTTCCCTCCTAATCCTCCTTCTGCCATGAACTTCCTTTACTCTAATTGTCCATTGATTGATTACCTCTGTGAATGTTGTGTGATGAAAGCTAATCTATGGAAAAGTTGAGACTGAGATTAATGTTCATAAAGACCTCAGGTGGAAGATGCAGCAATACTATATTGCATTCCTGCTGAAACAAAGCAAAAGCAGCTACAAGAATTTGAAAGCAAGTCACATTTTTGCACACCATCCATTATTCTTGCATTTAACAGGATGTTAAAGATTCTACATCTTCTGAATTTATTAGCTTGGTATTTAGCAGGTTTCACAGCCAAAATAGCAAAGACGGTTCATTATTGCTGGTTAAATTAGCCTCATGAAAATGTTGTTGGTAAAAGGTTACAGAAATGAATAAGAAATCTAACCAAGCAGCATATTAAATCATTTATCATTATAATTTAAAAAGGCATTCTGATGATTTAAATTAACTTGGCTAAAGGGTAGAGAATTAGATAAAAGTTAATAATTAAAACCTAGATGACTTGATTAGGTCTTTTGATAAAGATGGGACAAAATATAGGCATATAGTATTTACTTAAATTGTCCTTGGCAGAAATTAAGACCAATAAAATCATACTTGATCATACTATTTATGGGCTTTAAAAGAATTATAGCTATATTATACATAAACTAGATTATCTGAATAGCTTCAGACATGGTTAGATAGCTCATTCCAGATAATTTTAGTTTGAATAGTCAAAGCCTAGAATTTAGTTATTTTTCTATTGAGGTTTAGTATGATTTAAAAAAAAAATTGAATGGCCTCTCTATAGATTAAGGGTAGTAAGTCTTTGTCATCTTTGTGAAATTTTTGTCAATAAATTAAATATACTTTGTTTCTTGATATATAGAACCGTGGGCTTCCCTGGTGACTCAGTGGTAAAGAACCCACCTGCAGCGCAGGAGACGCAGGTTCAATCCCCAGGTCAGGAAGATCCCCTGGAGGAGGGCATGACAACCCACTCCAGTATTCTTGCCTGGAAAATCCAATGGATAGAGGAGCCTGGTGGGCTGTGGTCCGTAGGGTCGCAAAGAGTCAGACACGACTGAGTGACTGAGCGTACAGAACTTTTAATACACACACACATGCACATACCTATTTACTAATGATATTCAATTTTTTTCCACCTAGGGTCCTCTTTCAAATCAAGCAGCAGCAAAGGAGAAAAAACATTAGAATTTGTTCCAATAAATCTACATCTGCAAAGAATGCACGTACACAGCCCTCGCTTGAAAGGTAGGGATATAGTATTTCCAATGGACAAATCATGTTGGTGTGTACTTCTTTAAATGGCTTGACTTTTGGAAGAATTTAAAATTCTAGCAGTTATACAAAGATGACGATGAAACAATTGAAGCTGAGTATGTTCAGCAGTTCCTAATAGCCTCCCATTGTGCTACTATTTGAATAAGAAAAAGAGGTAAAACTAGACTAGTTCATTTTGTATCTACCCTGAGAAACCAAAGTCCAAAGGTGGACTGAAAGGCTGTTTCTCTGACTTAGTGGTGACTATCAACAGGATCACCCCTTCTCTAGGAGAAGTGGATTTATCAGAAAGTGGTAGAGTATTTTGATGTACTCAGTTTTGAGATACATTTTTCAATAAAATACATATACATTTTCATAACATACTTAAATAGCTATAGAGTGAATGATAAGATGTTGCTGCTACATAATTCCTTGCCGTTTCTCAGTATGAAGTATATTTTAAGTTTTCTTCTCATTTCCCTTTTTCTTTAACTTATTGCTGTATCATTTTTTGTGAATATTTGGGGGAACCATCTGCCACTATCAGCGAAAGGACCATATTATGATGCTTGTCCAGCAGCTTTGTTAATGATGCCATCCACATCCTTTACGTCTCAAAGCTCTCTCTGTGTGAATAATAAATTCTATGGTCATCCTGCTCATCTTCCTAGATAGCCAAAAGTTCCTTTAGATTGTCACTCTTTCATGCTATGTCTATCAACATATACATACAAACATGCACATAGTCATTCACAGATGCATCTGCAGAAGCATTCTAACACACAGTTTTGCAGCCGTTCTCACAATAGAGAGGTTCAATCAGTTCAGTTGCTCAGTCATGTCTGACTCTGCAACCCCATGGACTGCACACGCCAGGCTTCCCTGTCCATTACCAGCTCCCAGAGCTTCCTCAAACCCATGTCCATCGAGTCGGTGATGCCATCCAACCATCTCATCCTCTGTCATCCCCTTCTCCTCCTGCCTTCAATCTTTCCCAGCATCAGGGTCTTTTCAAATGAGTCAGCTCTTCGCATCAGGTGGCCAAAGTATTGGAGTTTCACCTTCAGTATCAGTCCTTCCAATGAATATTCAGAACTGATTTCCTTTGAGATGGACTGGTTGGATCTCCTTGCAGTCCAAGAGACTCCAACAAGAGCCTTCTCCAACACCACAGTTCAAAATAGAGAGGTTAGACTTTTTTTTAAAAGGTTAAAATGAAACCTGTCTACTTTAAAATTACCTGAAGTTTTGTAATCAAAAAAATTTGTATAAGTTTGTGTATACTGATTGTCTATACACAACTAGTTAACATACAAGTTCAAACGTAATTAAAATCATTCTGACATATGATTGTATTATTGATGTGAGTGAAAGTTGTTCAGTCACGTCCAACTCTTTGCGACCCTCTGGACTATACAGTCCATGGAATTCTCCAGGCCAGGATACTGTAGTGGGTAGCTGTTCCCTTCTCCAGGGGATCTTCCCAACCCAGGGATCAAACCCAGGTCTCCCTCATTGCAGGCAGATTCTTTACCAGCTGAGTCACCAGGGAAGGCCATTCTTGTATTATAAACACATTATAATTATATTGATTATTTATATTTAATTATAATTGTAATTGCATCATCATATACCTTATCAAGTACCTGAAATTTTAACATGCATCTTGTTCACCAAAAATTATGTCAAATGAAAACACTGAATTAAAAGCAAAATGGATTGGCCCTAGGGCATTTAGAAGCTCTTCCTTGATTACTTGTGTCTATTAATAATTTGAACATATGTTAGTTGCTCAGTCTTGTCCGACTCTTTGTGACCCCATGGACTGTACAGCCCACCAGGCTCTTCTGTCCATGGGATTTTCCAGGCAAGCATCCTGGAGTGGGTTGCCATTTTCTTCTCCACAGGATCTTCCCGACCCGGGGATCAAACCCGGTTCTCCTGCATTGCAGTCAGATGCTTTACCATCTGAGCTACTGAACATAACAACATCTAATGGTTTTTAAAAATCATCAAAAACAAAGTCATAAAGAAACTAGGGCATTCAAAATCTATCTGGCAACCAATGTAATTTTTTTTTCTAATAGCCAATATGAAGAGGCTTTTATGATACAGTACCAAGTTTATATATTTTGAAGTATAATAGAATTTCAGCTTTACCACTTTATGTTTGACCTTAAGCCTGTTATTTAATCTTTCTAAGCAGTGTTGTTCCTGTCCTGATTAAGTGAGCTAGAGCATATAAAACATGTAGAATCAACAATAATAGTTTTTGTGATTCATGTGATAGTTGCCATCACTGGAACAAAGCAAATTGTCAGTTTTTTCATGACAGTTAAAATTGGAGGAAAGTGATCAGTTTAGAGCCTATTAAGACACATTGAAATCTTCAACCAAAAAAGCAGCCACATTTAGAGAAATGAGGATTTAGAGAAGCATTTTGGAAAAATCATCACTTGCAAGTTCTATGACAGATGAAATAAAAAGAAGAGAGAAAATGATAACTCAAGTTACAGCTATGGATAGATAGCAGTATCATTAAACCAAATAGTCTGTTGAAGACAAATTGATATGAATTTATACTTAAATATCCATTCAAATATTTGGTGGTGATCCTTAAAATATTTCCAGTATACAAAGTGGAATTATTAGCTAAGTGGGCTTTTACTTTCTACTTACTTCTTAAAAACAAAAGAACCATTTATATTATGCTGTTTTTTCCCAGGGTAATATCTGAAAATAGACTAGAGTGAACTGGTATGATACAAGGCATTAAATTATTTAATTGTTGTTTCTGCAGTATAAAAGGAACTGGCAACTAAAATAAAGACATTTGAAAAAGCAAACTAAATTTCTTCTGATTAGTTTAGTGAGATATGTATCAGTTTCCTACAGCTGTCTTAACAAGTACCACCAAGCGGGAGTCATAAACAACAGAAATGTAATGACTTACAGTCTGAAGGCTGGGAGCTAAAATGAAGGTGTTGGCAGAGCCATGATTCCTCTGAAACTTAATCTTAGCTTAATCTTTAGCTTTCTTTAGTTTTCTTTGTTGATATATCACCTCGGTCTTTGCATGTCATTCACCTTTATGTCTTCATATCATCTTCTGTGTCTGCTTCAATGTCCGAATGTCCCCTTTAAGGACATACCAGATTAGGTCATGTTGGATTAGGACCTGCTCTAATTACCTTATTTCAACTTGATTGCATCTCTAAAAGCCTTATTTCCAATTAAGGTCATAGTCTAAAATACCTTTCTGAGGGGAGGGTGGGCACAATTCAACCCATAATAAGATGTATAAAAGAATTTCTTATTTATGATGACAAATACCAAACAGTAGAGAGTAAAGCTAGATTTTTAAGTTACAGAACTAGGGTGTGCGTGCTCAGGCACTAACTCATGTCCAACTCTGCGACCCGATGGACTGTAGCCCACCAGGCTCCTCTGCCCATAGAATTTCCAGGCAGGAGTACTGGAGTGGGTTACCGTTTCCTCCTTCAAGGGCTCTTCCTGACTCAGGGATCGGATTCACATCTCCTGTGTCTCTTGCATTGGCAGGCAAGAGAAATAGGGTACAACTCGTCAACTAGAGAGTTTTTCACATCTTTTCAGAAAGACTGATTTCTTTCTTTGAACACCTAAGGAAAAAAATGTGCAAAGAGACTAGAGATTAATTAAAATTAATTAAATCAAAAATTAATTTGAAAATAGTGAATTCCATTACATATAAATCTTCCCCCAAGGCTACTCACATATCATATATATGTATATATATATATATGAGACATGCAAGTCCTACATATAACATTATAAAATATGTATGTATTAAAATTTTATGTTCTTGTAATTTTAAACATTATTTTAAATTGAAATTCAGTTAAAGTAGGTGCTTTCTAGACTAGTTCACCAACTCTATATTACCATAGAAATTAAAAACTTGACTGACTTTTGGGGGCTCTATGCCTTACTTTTCCTAGTTTGACCAAATTCATAACCTTTCTGAGCTTTGATTTTCTTTATTTGCAAAGTATAATGTTTATAAATGGTAGTCAATCAGATTTTCTACTTATATAGCATATTTTTTAATAGCAGATTAAATGAATCATAGTTAAATGTACTTAAGATCTATAGTTACTGATTTGAACATTTAGCTGAATTACAGACAACATTTTGCAAGGTAATGATGCAAGTAAGATTCGCCAAGCCTTGGTATTTCACTGGTGAATTATTTCGATGTCTACATCTCTTTTCATTCTTACCATTAGTAAATTGCATCTATGCACATTTGATTAATCTATCTGCTATATTTGGAGAGTTAGTTTTGCAAACAGTAGCAAGAAGATTCACCAAAGACAAGGCTAATGTCTAGCTCTTGAAACAACTAACTGAGCGGAACTAATGTTGTCATGTCTCATACTGACAAATGAAATAACCTTCATTTAACTTCAGGTGCCCCAGGCCCATTGAGTGAATTTTTCATCCTTATCCATTGCTTATACGCAGCAAATAGAATAGCTACCACTATAGGGATCTTAGCAGCTTTGACTACAATAACACAAAGCCCTGGGATGAAGAAGACAGTTTCCATCTCCAGTACATTTTCCTTTCATAGAAAAATAGTTGTGAACATTATACATTATGGATTCTTGTGATATTCTATGTTTAAGTTATTTTATATGTGATACATATATAATAGTATATAGTACATAGAAAAGAAAGGGAGGAAGGAAGGAAGGAAGGAGGGAAGAAATGAAGGAAAAAAAGAAAGAAACTACTATATTATACTGTAAAACTGCAGTTGGAATCAGGTGCTAGATCGGCCTGGATTTACTGTTTAATATGGATGAGTTGGCTGACTTTTCTGCCCCTTACTCTTCTAATCTCTACACAGGCGGAGCTATTAAGAGCTCCCCCTTTTCTGTATCTCAAGAGCCTGGGGGTATATCACCTTATCAATGAAGCACAATTATCTTGTAGATGTATTT